CGAGCGCCGCCTCTCGCCGCTGCCTTCTTTAAGGTTTGGGGGTTTTTTGGTTTGGTTTTATTTAAACCCCTCTTCTCCTGTCTCACTGCCCGCAGTGGCTGCGTTTTCCACCTGCGACAGCCCTGTGGCCCCGGCAGCGCCGGACGATGCCAGCGCTGAGGTGGAGCCCGAGCGAAATCATTTTCAAATTGAATTTTTGAAATCTCGTTTCTCCGCCACACCCCCCCATCCCCACCCCACCCCCCTCTACTTTTTAAGCAGCCTGCGCGTACGGATGCACGCGTGTTATTTTCTTTCAGGCCCATCCAACTGGATCCCGGCAGAGGGAGGCTCCGGAGAAAGCCCGGCGAGGGCTTTGGAGGCATCTGGGACTCCCGAAGGGCTCTGGGGCAGACCTGGAAAAGCCCGGTTTGTTGGTGGGACGGAGGCTTCCCCGGCCAGCTACACCCCAGCCGCTGCTGTGAGCGGGGCGGGTGAACCCCGGGGGTTGTCGGTAATCGCAGAGGCGAAGCAACGCTGAGATGTTCCCCCGACTTGAGGGGGCAAAACAAAAAATAAATCTTGAATTGCAGGTCGGCTGTCGGGCTGCAGCAGCTGGAGGCCGTTGTTTGGGTGTATTTTTAATTCGGGATATCTGGCTAAACGCGATGGAAAGCTTCCCCGGCCTCACGCCGGTAAAGAGCTGAGCCTGGGGCGTTACCGCTCAGCAGCGCATTTTGGTTTTTATTGCCTTTGCTTGCTCCAAGCTCACCTCTGCAAAAGAAACGTTACTGGTTTAGTTCTGCTGCTACGGACATCAATCCAGGATCAAATTAAAACCCTACCTCTCTGCTTCTGAGATAATCTGATCCGGGCGGGTCGGGGTGGGTGTTTTTAATGCAATTCTTTCTCACCAGACTGATGATTTTAAAAACAACTGAAATCTCCTTCAAAAAACCCCAAACCAAACCTAAAACCAGTACTAAACAGCTTTCTTCCTGGACACGTGCCTAGCGTGAGGGCTGCGTCCTGGTTCGGCTCCCCGTCAAAACGCTCCCTGTAGCTCGGCCTTAGGTCTGGGGGAGCTGGGAGCGGGGTTTGGGAGGTGTCACTCCCCTTCCCTGCCGGAGCAGCCCGTATTTCCCTGGCTGGTAACCAAACCCCGATGGCCCCGCTGCCAAAAAGGCCGGGAATCCTGAAGGGGTTGGTGAAAAAAAATCAGGGGCGGGAGCTGCCTGTCCCCGGGCAGCGGGGGTGCTGCTCAATGGAGAGATGGGCTTTTTTCCACTTGCAAACTGGTAAATTTAAGCGTCGTGATGTTTTTTGCGCGCAGCTTTAAGGAGCAGAGGGCGCCGAGCGGCCGTCGGAGGCTTTTGCAGCTCCGGTTCCAGCTGGCGACGAAGCTCTTTGCCGCGTGCCACCGCGGCTTCGCGCCGCCCGCTGCCCTCTCCTCACCTCTCTCCCCTTTCTCTTTGCTTTAGATCAGCGGCGATGCTTCGATCTCTGCGCCCAGAAGAGGACTCTGCTACCAAAGTCATCGTTTCCAGCTAGAAGCACCCGAACCGACCAGCTGCCATGGAAACGGGCTGCACAGAGGAGCCTGCCCGGAGCAGGTCGCAGTCGGTGGTCTGCGGGCGGCCGGAGGGAAGTGACGCGCGGCGGGAGGAGACCGGGGAGCGGCC